ACACATTTTACAAAACTCATTTTACAAAACCTGTGACAGGTCCACCTCAATGTCCTACTGATGATGTCTTTGGGGACAACATTATTATTGCTGCATTTGCTCCCATCATCCAGGACGTTTGCTGGACTCTGGGAGCTAAACCTTACCTTGAATTTTAAGGCTGGGAGGGTACCAGCAGAGGAGGTCTGCAGACTCTGAAATTGATCCTCCAAGTCCCTCAACCTGAACAAGATGATAATATCATTAATCACTCAAGAAGGTCACATGATGATCGGAACCAAACACGAGGAAACAAACGCTCCTAAAATCTCATGGTGTAGATGAATAAAATTAGTTACAGATCAAGTCCACATCTCTCAGATGTGACAAAAAGGATGATGGCAAAGATTGAGGTCTGTGACAGAGAGGGAAAGTTCCAGCTTTCTGAAAAAAAAAATCCAAATTTGCTTGTTTTTTCCATACATCCATTATCGTTACCGCTTAATCCCTAATGGGGTCTCGGGGGGACTGGAGCCTACCCCAGTGGTCAGTGTGGAGAGACGGGGTACAACCTGGATGGTCCCCAGTCCATTGCAGGGCCACACAGAGACACACAAGGACCAACAACCACACACACTCACACTAAGGGCAGTTTGGAGTCCAACAACCTAACATGCAGGTTTTTGGACGGTGGGAGGAAGCCGGAGAACCCGGAGAGAACCCACAGACACAGGAGAACATGCAGACTCCACCCAGAAAGATCCTGGTTCCCCCGGGACTCCAACCCAGAACCCTCTGGTCCTGGTTCCCCCGGGACTCTAACCCAGAACCCTCTGGTCCTGGTTCCCCTAGGACTCCTACCCAGAACCCTCTGGTCCTGGTTCCCCCGGGACTCCAACCCAGAACCCTCTGGTCCTGGTTCCCCCGGGGACTCCAACCCAGAACCCTCTGGTCCTGGTTCCCCCGGGACTCCAACCCAAAACCCTCTGGTCCTGGTTCCCCCCGGGACTCCAACCCAGAACCCTCTGGTCCTGGTTCTCCCTGGACTCCAACCCAGAACCCTCTGGCAGAAAGGTCCTGGTTCTCCCTGGACTTCAACCCAGAACCCTCTGGTCCTGGTTCCCCCAGGGACTAAAACCCAGAACTCTCTGGCCGTGAGGCGACGGTGCTAACCACCACACCACCGTGCCGCCCAGCTTGTTTATTTTCACAGCTAAATTTCTGTTTTTCAGGTGTTCAAAATCTGAAATAACTGGCTTCAGTTTCCAGCGTTATCCCATTCTTACGTGGGCCTTGACATATATTTATGTCAACTGCTAGCAGGCTTGGTGATGGCAGCAGGTGTCCCTGCTCCTTTGTACCCTGCATTAAGATGTGGCCACCTAGCACCCATTTTCTTCATGTTTTGTGTTAGAGGAAGAAAAAAACAGCAGAAACTCTGAGGAGTTTCCGACACAGCAAGTTCCTGAAGAAGCTGAACAAAGCTGATCTCAGTGCTGCATTTGATACGATAAATCAGAACATTCTATTAAGACTCAAACATCGTATTAGAATTAAAGGAACTGCATCAGACTGGTTTAAGTCATTTGCATCACATAAATTCCAGTTTGTTCATGTAAGGATGGATCCTTCCTCCCACACCAGAATAAGTCCTTTGGTTCCACGGGGAACTTGGACCGATTCTTTATCCTTTAAATACGCTTCCATAAGGTAACTTTTTTAGACAGCATGGCATACATTTACATTGTTGCGCTGATGATATTTGGTTATATCTATCTCTGAACTAATGTGAAACAAATCAGTTTTTTAAACTTCTAGCAAGTTTAAAGAGCATTAAGACCTGGATGACTGCACTTTTTCTGCTTATAAATTCAGCCAAACTAAAGTTGTTTCATTAGCCCCTCAGGAAGGAAGTCTTATTTCCCCTTTGTAATATCTCCAAAATTTAGGACATCCTATGACAGAATTATGAAAAAAACTCAATTTGTTACTGCAGGATTGGAGAGGAGCAATTCTTTAATATTGGGCTGGCCCCTAACCTCTGAAAAAAACTGTGATCCGAGAAATAGCTGCAGAGGTCAAATTTATCCAGTTTTAGCTTCTCCTCAATGGGCCCTTTGTTAAATTCTGCTGCTCACATCTAAAGTTCGGAATTATCAGACTTTAAGACCTCATCGTTAGACATTTGACAAACCAAGCTTTTTGCACTATTTGTGGTTTCTAGAGTTTATAAAAGCAGGATGGGAGGCAGAACCCTCAGTTATCAGCCCCCCCTCTGTGGCACCTGGTGACAGTTTGGGTATTTAAAATAAACTAATCAAGCAAATATGGAAAAAACATTGTTCAATAGAAATCTCAGACATTATTTTAAAAAAATTTACATGACATCAACTTGCAGTGTAATGTCATTTGAGACATTTTGGTTCCTGTTCATTGCCAGTGTTCAACTTTGGTGTTGTTTTTATTATAATATTGTTAATTTTCTTTATTGTTAAAATTATTTTACCATGGTCCTCCTTTCAATATTGTGTTGTTAGGTATCTTGTATAGAAATTACTGTAAAGCAGAGGGAATAATTGCAGTTGGCAGAATTGGTATTTTATAACTGTTTTCTTTTTTAAACTTTACATTGTTAGTACTTTGTTGTTGAGCAGCTAATTCTGTTTTAACATGTCCATGTGGGATATGTAGTCTACCACTTTTTCTACATTATCATTTTGACCATTATGTTTACTGTGATCCTCTTTTCTTTCATCGATATTGCTAATATTGCTACAATATATTCTATTAGCAATATTACAAAAACACGACAGCAACATAACTTTAGTGAGCTACATTTATAAAAAGGCTGTCAAATTTAATTAATTCTGCCTACTTTCCAACACTTCAAATCATCACTGCAGGATTTAAAAACGTTTTCATGTTTGTTACAAGATTCTTTTACTGTCAATATACAAAGTCTTATGAAATTTGAAAAAGAGCAATCATACTGGAGATTTTTAAACAAAATGAGGACAGGCTCACAACATAATCAGTTCCAGCCACTGAACCAGACTGAGCTGCTGTCACTTTTCTGAGCTTCAAACACATAAATGAGGACATTGGAGTGTATTTTTACATGAACCAAAGCTCTGATGGTAATTTTGAGTAATAAGTATCTTGTTCTGCAGATACTTTTTTACCCTTTCAGACCCAGTAGACATCAGTCCACCCTTTCCAACATTTGATCCACTAAACTAAATGGGTCTGATCCCTTTACATTTTGAAGAATTTCCATCCTTCATTTAGGTGGCTGGCAAAGTGTATTGCCAAAGAAACTATCTCAACTCTGCTAGCTGCACAGGCATTTATTTGATGATATTGGACCAAAACCCATTCATTGTTAAGAAAGTAACTTCTACTGAAGGTGCACATCTGTATTTGGAAAAAGAAACTCCAAAGGCTCTTATGATTAGATATGTCAATCACTAAAGTAAATGCATAGATAAGAAATAAATTGCTCACCAGAAAAGTGTAAAAAATTCATGGTTTACATCTAAAAAGATGTATTTGAACACAAGCTTCCACGTGGAATGAGACAGTCAAACTCAAATCCTGCTTTACATCTAAAACCTGTTTAATTATACCTGAGTCGTGTGAGTCTCAGTTGCTCCTGAAGGAGGTGCTCTTCATCATTAGGCCAGTGGGCCTTTGTCTCCTCCGGGTCAAGCATTTCCTCGTGATGAAAGCGTACTGGGTCCCAGCCTGTCATAATGTCAAATGTGATGACACAGCCCAGTGAGTGGGAAACTATGGACACCTTCCCGCTTTTCTCAAAGTCCGGATTCCGCGTGCAGAAGAGGGAATACAAGCGATTCAGTTCCTGAGTCAAACCCCTTGTAATCTAAAGGCACACAACAGAAACAAAGCAAGTCAGCACACATGTGAGACATTTGTTTGAGTTGCCCTCCTTAACAATGTCCTTTGAGATAACTTAGAAGCCATAAAACCCTGTCAGGGAGAGTTCAGTGCTCAGTGGAGTTGCGAGTCAAAAGGGAAACTCTAGCAGAGTTTCATGAGTCCCTCTGAATTATCAGAAACATGCACACTTTGTTTGGTTGATTTGAACTAAATCGATTTAAGGCTACACAGTTTAGTTTTGCAGCGTTGTGCTAAAAACTAAACTGCTATTCAGTCCATGTTTAATTTAAGAATTTCCCTCAAAGATGTGCTCATTCATGCAAAACCCTGATGGTTGAAATAATCTCTTATAAAACTTAAGGGTAGTACTCAATGCTTGGAAACTGCACATAGAGTCTAAGTACAGTTCAAAGCATTGGAGAGTCTACATTAGGTTTGATGTGTTGCTTTAAACTGGCACTGTGCGATCTGAAACAGGGTTAAAAAGCTAGAGAGAACTGTAACGAACGCAGTTACATGGGCATTTTTTTGTGTGAATTTATTTTATTTTTGTGAATATGAATATGTTTTACTTTTAATATCTATTTCATATCTTTGTGTATTTTTTATTAATATGTAAATACTTTTGAAAATGTTCTAACAATGTTATATGGGGATGTCGCCGATTGGCTTTTCACAAAATCACGTGATGCCTTTGCTGTGAGTTGTTTAGAATTAGTCCGTGTGCAAGAGGAAAGGAAAAGGACGGAAAGAAATGGACTTCTAGTAACTCCTAACCTTCTGGTTGGAGGGGAATACGGTACGGACAATTTAGAAAATGTATATTTTGTTTAATAAGTTTAATTTGATAATTCATGTAGGTTTTATTGATGTATATTTTCCACCGTGTATTTTACAGTGTTCACGGTGGTCTTGGGCGAGCATTACGGCAAATCCTTTAATAAACGTTTCAAACCATCAGTTGGATGTCTGCACTTTCATAAACCAGTGAGAAAAAGTTGGGAGCGGCTATAGAACTACTGGTTTTGGTACATGTTGTACAGTATTTGTTTCTGGATAAAATCTCTAGGCTGTAGAATTGAGGACGCCTGACTCCTTCATCACTCCATCCTGGACAGAGGCCGTGGGGCTAAGCGGGCTGGGGCTCACCTCATCTCTGTACAGAGGACTGGTGTAGTACATGATGTCCATGGCGCTGCTGTTCAGCATGTCTCTGAGACCTCGCACTTTGTCAGGGGTGATGGAGTCCACTGTGTCTAAGAACAGAGAAGCAATTGTAATGCATTGAAAAAGGAGAAGAACATTTTTTAAAAATGCCTGAAGGCCTTGAATCGCGTGAATCATAAACAATTCATCCCTTTCAGGGTAACGGTTGCGCTGAAACTTCAATAACGCTGCAAAAACACACGCACTAATGAGCTCAATGTAGACAAAACCCATCAACAAAATGTGCATGACTTTGACCTTTGAACGAGGAAATTTGTTACTGTGATGCTCAACATTTTAGAGGCAGATTTAGCCACATTATTGAGAAATTACTGTATGTTTTTTCCACAGACGTTTGTTTAAATACTATTGAGTTTACTATCATTACATATTTAAAAATGTATTTACTTTCAGTTAAATTACTTTTTTCTCTTATCCAAATGTTGGTTTTGTTTCTCCACATCTCACTACTACACATTTCATAATGGACTTGCAGAATCTCCCAGCAGCGTTCCCGTGAACAACTGACCGCTGTTGCTCTGTAGCATACCTCCGTCCAGGCAGAGTTTGGACCTCCATTCAACGGGGAGGAACTCCACGTGTTCTGTGGTGCGATCGGAGAAATGCCTCTCCTCCATCTTTCTGGCGGCATCTCTCATCCTTGAAAACCCGTGAAGAAGAAAAAACACTTCCAGAATCATTCGTATTACGTCAAGATTATCTAGATGCCTTGATGGTGACGTACATGCTGGTGTTCCTGATGATGCGACCCTGGTCCATCTTCTGGCCAATGCCGTGCACAACAAAGACGATGTGTGTGGTCTCAGGTGGAGTGTCCTCAGGTGCGGCCTCCTCAACATATCCCCGATGGAGGCGCGTCCCACTGCTGGAGGCTGGGGGGGTAACAGGGAATTGCTGTTCAAACTGGCTGCCCGTATCAAATTCAAGTCCCTGATGCTAGCCTACAAAGTGCTTAAGGGTATGGCTCCCATCTACTTGAATCCTCCTGCAAAGGCTTATGTCACAGCTCGATCACTCCGGTCATCAATGGATTGTCGTCTAGCAGTGCCTTCACCACGCTTAAGACCATCCAGACTGTTTAATGTGTCGTTCCAAGATGGTGGAACCACCTACCAAGCTCCACAAGAACAGCAGAGTCCCTGTCTGTCTTCAAGAAACTCTTGAAGACCCACCTCTTCAAAGAGCATCTCCTATCCTAATCCTAACCCGTACCTCTACCCCCCACAGCTCCTATCCTAACCCTCACCCGTACCTCTACCCCCCCACAGCTCCTTCTGTAGTCCCTCTACCTCTATCTCTATCTCACCACTGACTCTGATCAGTGTTTCTCCTCTATATAGCTTATTGTCATAGTGATGAGAAATGGAATATTGTGTCTACTCTGTAAGTCGCTTTGGATAAAAGTGTCTGCCAAATGCATAAAAACATAAACACAGATGCCGAATCAAGTAGGATAACCAGTTTTTAAACTGGCTCTTCTTTACAACACCAAGAAACCATGTTACAGTTTGACTGTTTTTGATAATAATAATAAGCTGTCCAGTGATGGGCTGGTGGCTTCTCCAGGGTGTGAGCCACCTCCTAACTGATGAAAGCTGGGATGGGCTCCTGGAAATGTGCGGAGCTATAATGATCGAGCAGATAAGAGCAAGGATGGACCGAAGTATGCATGAATGAATGAATGAATGCTAATGTGATGGGCCATTTCTGTCGGTCACCAATGCAGACTGACGGTAAACTGTGGACATTGAGTTATCTCATTTTGCAGTGGCACAAAAATAGCTGAGACGCTGTAGAAATGACAGTGAATGGTATGGCAGGAGAAAAATTAGCTTTGACGTACTAAAGTACTAAGTATCGGTACTAAAGTGACAACACACAAGAGCAGTATCACTATTTTAAACTTTTGTTTTATCTATTTAAATCATTATTTGCTTTTAAGAGAAGCTTCTTCAGGGAAAGCTGAATTGTCTTTTTAGATTGTGAGGTGGGGGATAGTGGAAGGGAGGCTGCTGCTGATCAATGGCTGGTGGGTGGATGAGTGGGGGGTCAGTTCTGTTTATTTGATGGTGAAAATAGCAATAGCACTACTTCAGATTGTTGGACTCGGGCCATTAACAGAGTGCGATGCTTTAATTTTTCAATTTTATTTATATAGCGCTACATCACAACAACAGTTGTCTCACAGCGCTTTCCAAACAGAGCAGGTCAGACCCTACTCTGAAGTTAACTACAGAAACCCAGCAATTCCCATCATGAGCAAGCACTAGGCGACACAGGCAAGGAAAAACTTCCTTTTAACAGGCAGAAACCTGGAGCAGAACCATGGCACAGGGTGGGCGGCCATCTGCCTCGGCCGGTTGGGGGTGAGAGAGAGAGAGGGCAAGAGAGAGAGAGGGCGAGAGAAGGACAGAGGGAGCAGAGAAAAGCAGCCTACACAGCAACACGTAGACTAGATTAAAAATGGCAATGATATTAATACTAACGATAATGGTATAAAGTTATGCTTTACGCCTGTAGTTGGTGATTTCCTTGATCCCTATCCAGATATAAGGGTTTGATGAGAATGTTTGTTTTCTTCTCCTACTATGGAGTGATTTAGTGATTTTTTTTACCTATCCTCCATCTATCTATCATTTGTCCACACATCTGAAAATGACTTCTTTCTCGAACCAGCTGCAGTCAGACTGGCCCTGGGTGTTGGAGGGATGGTAAGCCCAGTTATAGGGGTGTTTCAGTGGTCAGCCTCTAAATGAATTGTCTATTTTCGGGGATATATTGCCTTTGTTAAAGTTTTCTAGATCAATAACCAGTTTGTCTGAATTTGACTGTTCCACACATAGTATCTTCAAAGTCCATTGTCCAAAGTTGAGGGAGTATCTATTATGTTGAAGACCCCCTCAATTGAGCCGTAGCAAAAAACTGTTTTATAACACAAAATAAGGAAAAGCACGAACCAAAACAAAGATGAGCCATCTTGATAACAACCAATGATCCCAACTCATGCTTAAAAATAACACAAATCCTGAATGAGTCAAAGTAAAAGGACTGTAAATGCCAGACAGAAGTAATACGCATAAAGTGGTGAAGATGCTTTTCTCCCTTGATCATTATAGCAAATAACAGATTGGTTATAAAAAAAAAAAATGGAAGCGTTTGGCATTTATGAGGAAAAATGAGGAACTTGAGAAATTGAGAAATCGATTTTCTCCACTCAGCAAAACAACTACTGAGGAAAAATTGCGGCTAAATTATTAGTAACATGACAATGTGGACAGCAGTGGTCATAAAATATATTGCAATCATATCTAAAACTGTGCACTAAGGATAAATGCAATACAGTAAGATTGTTATTGGCATCTGTTTTAATGACACCTGATTCACTAATATTAGGTTACTAAAATCAATGTTGTGTGTGTAATTTTATCAAAACAATGTTGTGGCCATAGTTTTCACTGGACCACTGCCAAATCTCATCTGTGATGGCATGTCTGTGAAGTTGGTTGATTTCCTTAGCCAGAAACCTTTTTAATTGTCTCTGTATGAATAAGACCAGTTTGGATTAATTAATGTAATATGACTGTTTTAGAATTAACTCTACTCTGATTGGTTTTAATTGGATTTGAATCTAAAAATGACATTTACTGTGTCTTGGCATTTTATTGGTAAAACTTTGTTGAAGTTTATCTTAATGGCCACAGAAACAAACTGTATTAATACGATAATTGGAGTGTTTCCTTGATGATTTTGCAACATTACATTCATATCATTTGATAACTGTTTTCAATCCAGTTTTCTTTTCATTTCACAATTTTCCAACAAATAAAGTATTTGGGCACTTTCAAGATATAGTCTAATGCAATCCATCCATTTTCAATAGCCGTTCATTCCAAGTATTCACAAAAGGGCTGGACCCTCTCTTAGCTGCCATTGGGACAAGAGGTGGGGATACTCCATCCATACACTATTGAATGTGCAAACTCCACATAGAAAAGCCCCACGTTCAAATTTAAAACCAGGAACCTCTGACTGTGAAGCGACCGTGCTAATCACTGCATCCCAGTTTAAACCACCTCAACTCAATATGTTTTTGTATTCAATCAAATTTTACCACAATTATCTACGCCATCTCTACATTTCTACAATTTTACCCACAATGTACCAGTTAACTCATTGGCTGCCAAAGACGACTATAGATGTCTTTTATGTTTTTCAACGCGAGTGGCTTGGGGGACGATCTGCTAAAGCTTGTCCGTAAATATCAGGCTTCTAGACAGAGTATGTAGTAACAAATTTACCCTCTAGGGGGCAGTGCCACTTTTAATGGGAGATGAGCATAGACTGTAGGAAAATAAGAAAAAGGTAACGGTTCGCTATGAGAGAACATGTCGCCGGTGAGACGCAAGTCCAGGAAGAACGGAATAAGGTAGAAACACATTTTTTTTCCTGATGAAAGAAGAGAGTCTATTCTTTCTTTTGGTGTGTTCAGTGTTTACATAGTCATAGCACAAACTATTCTGTGGCTCTTGAAAAATCAGTCAAAATGCTCAAAAAACTCTAGCAGTATGGGACTCTCTGTTCTGAAAATGGCTGGCAGTCAATGAGTTAGGATTCTTGGAGAATTCTTGGGGGAAAAGTAAAAAAAATGTATGTGTTACCCTTTGAGAAGCCCAGTTTCTGAGTGACAGTCCGTGCGATTTTGGAGGTGGTGGCGTCACTGTAGAGGTACACCTCGTCCACACTGTGCCAGTCAACATGGCTCCTGCTCAGCTTCAGGCTGTAGATGGCTGGGAGACACAAACACTGGAATTAAGAACACTATGAAATTCATTTTCTTTTTGAGTTTGTAAAATGGCATGCACTTGTAAGGGCTGTCCACTTACTCCCTTCTATTTAAGAGCAGCTTTTTGATGGTTTGTTTGCAGTTAAAATTCAATGCAACATCGCATGAACTGTTCTGTGACCTCCTGTGAGTAACAGAGGTTTTCCTATCACCTACAAGCATGTAAACACACTTTTACCCCACTTTCCACCATCATACTGACCTTAAAACAAAATCTATACACAAACACAAATCTTCTAAGCTTCATTTACAATCCCACCCTTCCCACCGAGGCAGATGGCCGCCCACCCTGAGCCATGGTTCTGCTCCAGTTTTCTGCCTGCTAAAATGAAGTTTTTCCTTGCCTGTGTCGCCTAGTGCTTGCTCATGGTGGGAATTGTTGGGTTTCTGTAATTAACTTCAGAGTAGGGTCTGACCTGCTCTGTTTGGAAAGCGCTGTGAGAAAACTGTTGTTGTGATGTGGCGCTATAGAAATGAAATTAAATTGAATTTAATTAATTTTAATTTTGTAATGTCATTGTCTGAACGTGTGATTGGACTGATTTTGTATTTTGTGATTTTGTGTTGTTTGATCTTCCTGCCTCAGGACGACAGATGTAAACTAGCATCTATGCTATAATCTGGCTCATTTACAATCTGTATGAGATTGTTCATTAATGTGCACTGTCCTGACTAAATAAATAAAAACATTTCTTACCATCTTTGCTGTCCACTGTTATGTTGACCGTCTCCAAATCATACGTGTCCCTCATCTGTTGCCCCCGGAAACGAGACAAATGCTCTGTCTCTATGAGATCACTCTCATCCTCCTCCAAGGGAAGCCACGTTCCATCGATGAACCATTGACCCCTCATCACAGGAATACGGTCTTGCTCTAAGGAAAACCACATTCTGGTTATTGACTCGACCACCACCAAATCAACAAGCTATATGTTGTCATAAAAAGGTTATTTACAGGGTGGCAAATTATGATAATAATCATGCTAATAAATCCTGAAATATATATATCTTTAAAACTCATGGGGACTTCCTCTGCAATTAGTGACCATGCAGATCCCATGAGTATTGATTCAACTAAAAAAAAAACTGTCAAGTGTGTGTCTGTGTTTAAGTATGTAGGAGCAATAGAAATTTTAAAATCAAATACCAAACATAAAAGAACATAGAAAAAGACTTATAATTGTTCTGTACAAGCCACTGAGTAAACTCAATGGGATAGTAATGTGAGATTAAAGCCACTACGGGATGGCACTGGACAATAATCTATCTATCTGTTAAGAATACGTTAAGAATACGTCACAACAATAATAAGATTGTTATTCCATTGCTATTGGATCTGACAGCTGACTACAGCAGCACAGGAATCAGTGACCCTCATGAAGAAAAACACTTCAAAAAGATGTGTCAAGCATACAAATAGACACCTCATTTTAATCACTTATTTGTCATCTAAGGACAAACTGCCACAATGACTGTGGCTTCGTTATCGACCAAAAGGGTCAGCACTTTTCTTGGTGCACTCTTATGTCATTAGCAGGGTCTCACACTCACTTAGCCTACTCGTTTTATTCCAAATTTAGACTCCCTTTTTTTTTTGTCATAAATCAAAGATAAGGTCAAAGAAAACATGGGGAGCATCAGCAAGATCAAATTTGGAAGCAAGCAGAAGGATATCAGTATATTGGGACAGCTCAGAGTGAGTTCTGCCACCACGTGGATACAGTAACAAGATCAATACAATCACAGCTGTCAAATCATTTTATATTTAATCTTTGAGTGTATGCAGCTACAGCATCTTGCACCCTGCAACACGCACTAATCCCATCTCTGCTCTGCACACTATCCCGTACACTGCGCACGCAAAGGAGGCTGAATTTCCGAAAGACTGTGATGGACAGAGATGCTGCTCACGGTTCCAGTAAACGGGGTAGCACTCCTTCTCCCTGACGTCCACCTCATACAGCCCCCCTCTTACACACACTGCCTCCTCTCTTATGTCAGCGTCCCCCGGCTCTCCGGGCTCCTCCGGCGGCGGGGCCGGGTGGCCGTCAGCCCGCTGCTCCGGCTGGGGCTCCGCTGGGTCACCGGGGGAGCGAACCTCCTCCTCCTCCCCGTTCTCCGCGCCCGGCGGCCGGCCGGCGTTCAGTTCGCATATCCTCCGGTACACCCTCTCGATTTTCAAAGAGTCGTGGCCGACGAACGGCTTCCAGGTCCGCTTGTCCTCTTTGTAAAACCACCGCACCTCCTCCGCCCCGAGCTCGGTGACGATCTCGCCGCGGTGGCGGGAGCTGTTGGACCGGATGCGCTTCTTGGTGGCGATGCCCCCGTCGCCTTCGCTGTAGTCCTGGTCGATTTCCAGATAGGCCGGGCCGGGGAGGCCCAGCATCAGGCAGTCTTGCGGGGAGTCTCCCTCCCCCAGGGGCAGGTGCCCGTCCGGAGGCCCGTCCCGGTCCCCGGGCGGGTGGCCGTCGCAGCCGGAGACGAACACGTCGCTGGCCATGTCCCACTCGCCGCTTTCCGAGCTCTGTTTGCGGACGCCCGGTCGGTCCTCCATGTAGAATGACGGAGAATGACTTTGGAGGAAAAGCGAAAAAAAAAGCCCCCGAGTGTCTGTCGCGGCTTGGCGCTCGTCTGGTTACATCTCTCTGTCCAGATGTGATGCAGCTGCCAGCATCACAGCGTCGGCCACACAATCCCCCATGTCCGCCTCCCTGCCCTCTCCGGCTGGCTGGGAATCACGTCAGACATCGAGAAAATCGACACGGAGCTTCCGTTCACGTTCAAAATAAACGGCGTGAACGGCGGGGGGCTTACCCACTGTGGGTGGGGGACGGGGGGAGGGGAGGGGAGGGGAGGGTGTCAGTGTAGGATAATAATATGTAACCTAACGTTCATGTCTTAACTACCCGCACGCGCACAGGGGGCAGCATGACGAACAAAACAAAAAAAAAGACTCGGGACGCCGTCTGTCCATGAAATAAAATAAATTCGAAATAGCGAAATAGGGCGTTTTTTTGGTTTGTTTGTTTGTTTGTTTTTTTGGAACTCACTTATTTCAGTGCCAGGCCAGAACCAGAAAAAACACGTACATTTAATTTGAAGGGAAGCTGTCTCGCGACCCGCCTACGTCAATTAGGGCATCAAAATATGTCCCCATCGAGTGGACGTTACAGTCCGTCCGACTCTTTTTGGACCTCGCAGGCCACCGTAGCGGCGGCCGGGGCCTGCTGTCATGTCTGCTTGAGGCGATAACCATTGACAGTCCGGTCTGCTGACAGGAGGAGATGGCGGCGGTGTTCCTGGTCACCCTTTATGAGTACTCCCCGCTGTTCTCTATCGCCGTGGTCTCTCTGTGTTTCTTCGTGACCGCCGCCATATTGCTCGGCTGGTAAGGTCTCGACGTTTCGACGGGTCTGATTTGACAC